ATATGTGTGGAGGGTGCAGGGCAGATGGGTTGGGGGGCATGGGGGGTGCAGGGCAGAGGGCTGGGGCTGTAGGGGTGCAGGGCAGAGGGATGGGTGTCTGTTGGGGTGGGGAGGTGCAGGGCAGAAGGCTGGGTGTGTGTTGGGGTGGGGAGGTGCAGGGCAGAAGGCTGGGGTGCTCGGCTCGTGGGGGTGCTCCCAGCCCCCTGCCCTGCGCGGCTCATGGCAGGGGCTGGGAGGGATATGCTCTGTTCCACCCGCTTCCCCCAGGCTTGTCCCTACCTCTCTCTGCCTGCTCCATACCCCTAATGATTTTTGTTGCCCTTTTCTGAACCTTTTCCAATTCCAATATATTTTTTTGAGATGGGGCGACCACATCTGCATGCAGTATTCAAGATGTGGGCATACCATGAATTTATATAGAGGCAACAGGATATTTTCTATCTTATTATCTATTCCTTTCTTAATGATTCCCAACATTCTGTTCGCTTTTTTGACTGCCGCTGCACATTAAGTGGATGTTTTCAGAGAACTATCCACAATGACTCCAAGATCTCTTTCTTGAGCGTTAGCAGCTAATTTAAACTTCATCATTTTGTACGTATAGTTGGGATTATGTTTTCCAATGTGCATTACTTTGCATTTATCAACATTGAATTTCATCTGCCATTTTGTTGCCCAGTCACCCAATTTTGAGAGATTCTTTTGTAGCTCTTCACAGTCTGCCTAGGACTGAAGTATCTTGAGTAGTTTTGTATCATCTGCAATTTTTGGTCTGTTTACCCCTTTACCGCACTGTTTACCCCTTTTTCCAGATAATTTATGAATATGTTGAATAGGACTGGTCCCAGTACAGATCCTTGGGGGACACCACTATTTACCTCTCTCCATTCTGAAAACTGACCATTTATTCCTACCCTTTGTTTCCTATCTTTTAACCAGTTACCACTCCATGAGAGGACCTTCCCAAGACTGCTTACTTTGCTTAATAGTCTTTGGTAAGGAACCTTGTCGAAGGCTTTCTGAAAATCTAAATACACTATATTCACTGGATCCCCTTTGCCACATGCTTGTTGACCCCCTCAAAGAATTCTAGTAGATTGGTGAGGCATGATTTCCCTTCACAAAAAGCATGTTGACTCTTCCCCAACAAATTATGTTCATCTATGTGTCTGACAATTTTGTTCTTGACTATAGTTTCAACCAGTTTGCCCGGTACTGAAGTTAGGTTTACCAGCCTGTAATTTCCGGGGTCACATCTGGAGCCCTTTTTAAAATTGGCGTCACATTAGCTATCCTCCAGTCATTTGGTTACAGACTACAGTTGTTAGTCCTGCAATTTCACATTTGAGTTCCTTCAGAACTCTCGTGTGAATACCATCTGGTCCTGGTTACTTATTACTGTTTAGTTTATCAATTTGTTCCAAAACCTCCTCTAATGACACCTCAATTTGGGATAATTCCTCAGATTTGTCACCTAAAAAGACTGGCTCAGGTTTGGGAATCTCCCTCACATCCTCAACCATGAAGACTGATGCAAAGAATTCATTTAGATTCTCCACAATGGCCTTATCGTTCTTGAGTGCTCCTTTAGCATCTCAATTGTTCAGTGGACACACTGGTTGTTTAGCAGGCACCCTGCTTCTCATGTACTTAACATTTTTTTTGCTATTACTTTTTGAGTCTTTGTTTAGCTGTTCTTCAAATTCTTTTTTGGCCTTCCTAACTATATTTTGACACTTCATTTGCCAGAGTTTATGCTCCTTTCTATTTTCCTCACTAGGATTTAACTTCCACTTTTTAAAGGATGCCTTTTTGCCTCTCACTGCTTCTTTTACTGTGTTTTTACGGTGTCTTTAAAAAGTTTCCATGCAGCTTTGCAGGGATTTTACTTTTGGTGCTGTACCTTTTAATTTCTGTTTCACTAATCTCATTTTTGTGTAGTTCCCCTTTCTAAAATTAAATGCTACAGTGTTGTGCTGCTGTGGTGTTTTCCGCCCTCAGGGATGTTAAATTTAATTATATTATGGTCACTATTACTAAGTGGTCCAGATATATTCACCTCTTGGACCTGATCCTGTGCTCCACTTAGGACTAAATCAAGAATTGCCTCTCCTCTTGTGGGTTCAAGGACTAGCTGCTCCAAGAAGCAGTCATTTAAGGTGTCAAGAAACTTTATCTCTGCATCCTGTCCTGAGGTGATATGTAGCCAGTCAATATGGGAATAGTTGAAATCCCCCATTATTATTGAGATTTTTGTGCTCTAATCTCCCTGAGCATTTCACAGTCATTATCACCATCCTGGTCAGGTGGTCAGTAATATATCCCTACTGCTATCTTCTTATTCAAGCATGGAATTACTATCCATAGAGATTCTATGGTACAGTTTGGTTCATTTAAGATTTTTACTTCATTTGATTCTATACTTTTTTTCACATATAGTTCCACTCCTCCACCAGCACAACCTATTCTTTCCTTCCAATATTTTTTGTACCCTGGTATTACTGTGTCCTATTGATTATTCTCATTCTACCAAGTTTCTGTGATGCCTATTATATCAATATCCTCATTTAATATGAGGCACTCCAGTTCACCCATCCATAGGTGCCGACTTCTAATGGTGCCGGTGGGTGCTCAACCACCCTTTACCCCTGGCCCCACCCCGACTTCACCCCTGCCCTGCCTCCTCCTGCCCCCATTCCAACCTCTTCCCCAAAGTCCCCTCCCCAACTCCGCCCCTTCCCTGCCCCTATTCGACTCCTTCCCCAAATCCCTGCCACAGCCCCGCCTCCTCCTCCCTCCCTCCCGGAGCTTGCTACAGTTGTTTGGTGGTGGCAAGTGCTGGGAGGGAGTGGGGAGGAGTGGGGATGTGGTGCGCTCAGGGGAGGAGGCAGAGGTGAGGTAGGGTGTGGGGGAGCGGGGCAGGGAGCTTGGCTGCTGGTGGGTGCAGAGCCCCCACTAATTGTTCTCAGCACCCACTAAGTTGGTGCCTATGCACCCATCTTATTATTTAGACTTCTAGCATTGGTATATAAGTACTTTAAAAGCTTCTCACTTTTCAGCTGTCTCCCATTGCATGATGTAATTGAATGAGACTTTTTTTCATTTGACTGTTTCTCATCAGATCCTACCTGTATTTTATCATCTTCCATCCTCTCCTCATTAGGACATAGACAATCTCCATTAATAGATCCTCCCCTGATGGATGTCTCTGTCCGAACCACATGCTCCTCCACACCTGTCGGCTTTCCCCCAGCCCTTAGTTTAAAAACTGCTCTACAACCTTTTTAATTTTAAGTGCCAGCAATCTGGTTCCATTTTGATTTAGGTGGAACCCATCCTTCCTGTATAGGCTCCCTATAACAAGGTTGTTGCTATCATGGTTTGAGACATAGACTAGACTGGGCCAGATTGTAGACATGTATACCCCTCCCCTCAGTCCCAAAAGGAAGGCACAGCAAATATGGAGCTCTCGAAGGACTGTATCTTTCTTTGAGGATTAGTTTTTCCCCTTCCATGTGCTTCTACCTGGGAGTATCCAGCCCTACATACATAACAGCATGTGACATGTCAAGCAAGGAAAGTTAAATATATCAATTTTATGTAATACATCCTGAATTGTAATTTGCACTCTGCTACAGATTCTCTGCCTGACCTTGTTAAAGTCATTTAACTGCTCTGTATCTCATTTTCCTCACCTGTAAGTAAAACCAAGATACTATTACTTACTCTTTTACATCAGATGGGCTTTGTGAGGATTGATTAAAGTATATACATCACTATGACAATGTTAAGGGCTATGTTTAATTAATAATTTCATTTATTATCTATGTCATAATTTATATGATGGCGGGGGGTGGCAAGATGGTTACTGTAAATTAATCCATAACTCAGTAGTGGTACAATGGCAGCTAAGCCACTATTATAGAGTTCGGTGATGTACTTATATGACAAACATTAGAAATACATATTGTTTTAAGCTCTTCACAAAGTGATTATGTTGCATTGTTATAATCTGTAGTTGCTTCAGTGAATCTGACTTTTTTGTGTAAGTATCTTGTCAACATTTTGTAGTTTATAAACAAGTCTAAAAATAGATTTAAAGCATGCTTTAATGGAGTAGTTCAGTAGTGTAAAACAACAGTACCTCTGTCTCCATATATTTTCCACTATGTTCAGTCTCTTCCCTGAGGTGTTGGACTTCAGACATGTTTTATTAACATTCTACAGTTGTACCCTTCTGACTAACCAGCCATTAGCTGGCTCACTGATCCTTAACTGCAGATCACTCTCTTATATAGGCTGCATTTCCCTTAGGTTCCAAAATAATTAGTCTCACGGCTATGGATGTGATTTCCGTTTAAAGGAATGTAGAAGCAGCACCTCAATCACTGCTGGTGAGTATCCTTATTCATGTTATGTGCCTTCTGTGGTTAGTATTTATAGAATACCATATTCTAATTCTACTTAACAATTAGACTAACACCAGAGAGAGTTACGTTTGCCTTCCAGCACAATTTTCAGCACAGTGAGCAAGGAGTTACACATACAGAGCTCCCATAGCAACATGTTATTGTTAACTGAAGTTGGGTGCATAGCTCCATGTACTAAAAATTCACTAAGGACCAACTTAGCTGTCAAATTGGACACTGGTGAAGTATCTGAGGGCAGAATACTCCTGTAACCACATAAGGGTATTCTATGGTAATGGAATAACCCCTAACACTGCAATATTACTATTATAAGTTGTAGTGTTTTGGACCACTACTAAACAAAACTACATTACTAAACAATAATGTGCTCCTTTTTTTTGTAAGGAGTGAACCTAAAGTCTTCATTATTACAGAACATTTGAGTATCACTTCTCAAATAGTAATGCATTGAAAGCCCATAAATCTTCAGTTCTTTGATATCAAAATTATATTTTTAATCCACTACAACAACCCCCTTTGAATGTATTGCTACCAGGAAAAAAAGCAGTACCTTTATTTCAGAATACAGGTGGAGAGGCGGTAATGTAATCAGATACTGATATCTCCTTTCAGTCAGCATCTACATGTATTCAACTTAAATGTCAATATTAAAGGGAAACAAAGTGAGATCAATTAAAAAAAATCCTGACATTGATGGAATAGCAAAATCAATAGGTGTATTATTTACATAACCCACCTTCTTCTGGGATCAAAAGAAAAAACTGAAAGAGGGTAAAAATACCTGACAGCTGAAGAGTTTCATTTAATATAGTCACTTTAACAAAAACTCAAGTAGGTCCAGTGGTCCTAATTAAATTAATTAGGTGCCAAAAATGTTTAGCTATTATAATCTTTTACATTTTATCCAGTGGCTTTCATCGTACTGGACACATCAAAAGAAGTCATCTACCAACAGTAAGAGACTATCTAATTATTATACAATAAAAAGGATTAACTGTCCCAGCAGAGGCTGCTTATTGTTTCTCTTATTCACTGGTCTACCAGTGTCCACAATTTCTGAAAAGAAATCAGGCAACATATTTTAACACAAATAAATAGGCATTGTGTATGAATGAGGTACTAACGAAGCATTAAGAATATAGGCCCAGATCCTCAAAGGTAGTAGGCCACTAACTACCATTGGGAATTAGGCACCTAAATACCTTTGAGGATCTGGGCCATGTATGTAAAAAAAGAAAACTGCAACATGCTGATCCTGCAACATGCTGAATCCCTCCTGAGAAGTGCTGAGTGTCTTCAACTCCCACTGAGTTCAGTAGAGGAGGGGGTGCTTTGTTTAGGAAAGCTACCCAGTGCTCACTGTCCCCTCTTACTGCCTTCAGGGGCACACACCATCCTAAAAGGAGGAGGCACAATCCCTCCTAGAGAGCCCCATAGAGTGGTGCAGCTCTGCCCCAGTGCAAGACAGATTGTAAATTACACAATCTGACCTAGTAGTATGCTGAACATTTAGGGCCTAATTTGATGGAAATAACTTGCTTTTTTCACATGTAATTTTTCATGCACAGTTAATTGTAGGTGCAAATTATAGCATTTAGATGTCTGCTTTACTTGCAGATGCAGCCACCTGTTTAGATGTCTAAATACTAGCATTTGCGCCTTCAAAATGGTAGGCTGACTGACGCCCCTTTAAAAATCAGACTTTCAATTGCAGTACATATTACTTTGCTAAGGATATGTGAACCTGTGAAAATCTTGATTAGATAGATAAATACAAAGAAATATTAGTTAGAAAATAATAAATTAGAAATTATCATCTCATTTTGGAGGATAAAAGCAATCTCCTCTTTGTCTTTCTCTTTCTTTCTGTGCATGTGTCTGACATGCTAACTTGTTACAAATGTGACTCAGACATATAGCTGGAGTCTTTTTATCTCTCTGGGTGGGGAACATTGGGACAATTTGCATATTTACTTTCTTTTATTAAACTGCATCTTCGTTGTTAACTCATTTAAAAATGCCAATTTAAAACATTGGCTTTGATCTGGTTTCCTGGTAATTAAATTGCTTGCCTTTAAACTTCCATCATTTAAAATAATCCTTATTAAGACAATTTTCCCAAACTTCAAATGTTGGTTTTCAATTCTAGTGTGAAGGGAATGAATAATGGTTCTGGATATATTTACTTAAACACAGGCTGGTTATACCAAACTAGGAAATCGATTTCCTTGCCTCATGTATTAACTAAGGGCATGATCCAACAAATTCTTACCCTGTCAGAGGCCTTAGTCACACAGTAGTCCCATTTGTTTCACTGGAACAACTTACATTAATAAAATCTACTCAAATGAGTAGGGATTTCTAGGATTGGATCCTAAGACATGCTATTATCCTTCTAGGCAGAATGAAATAAGCATTCCCATGCTGGCCTTTTAGAAAATGTTCATTGTGAAATAACTTCAGTTCTCAAATACAATATAAGTAAAGATGTATAATTATATCTGTGTAGATAAAATATAAATAATCACCACATATTCATCTAATACAATAACCTGTACATCTTGCTGCCTGACTGAACTGTTTCTGATTTGAACTTCACCAAGTCTGAGAGGTTCTGTTCAGATGTTCCAGCTGTGTGCATCTCCACTCATAAGAGAATAAAATAGAAATAAATGTAAAGGGGTAGATTGTGCCTGTTAGGCACACCCACAGTAAGTAATTAAATACAATCTATAAGTCTTTGTTTTAATCTGATATAAATATAATTACATATTTCATTATATTTTAAAATATCAATCTCTTCCTTCTCTAATTACACATTTGAATATATGGTAATTGTTTTGATTATGAGGTTGTTAAAATTCTGTGCCATACAATATTAAAAAGAGATTAAAAGGCCTTTTGTTCATATGGAAATACCAAAAACAACATTTTGTTTAAGTGGGATTTTATATTTCTCTAGTCAAGTGATGACGGGGCTTTTGTAAAGAAAACCTTTCATCTTAAACATTCAGTACTCCATCACAACATAATTACCCTAATTTGTATTCCACGGTAGAAATAGGCTTTTTCAGTTTAAACAAATTAAGCAACAATCACTAAGCATACATGGCCAGCATTTTTTCAGGTAACCTGTTATCTGCTCTAGTTACAGCTTTATCTTTATAAACTAGAAATCCTGTTTTTGTTTTCCTGCTTTTTCTGAGGATTATGTTAGTCAGATTGTCTAAAGAGGCATTGTGGCTCACTGGTTAGGGCAGTGGATTCAAGAGGTTATGCCCCACTCTTTCCTTACTCATTGTATGATCTTGAGCAAGGCACTTTGGGCCAAATCCTTCCCTCATTTAGACCCCAGTTCAGGAAAACACTTATGCACATACTTAACTTTAAGTGCATGAGTAATCCCATCCCTCTTCAGCAAAGCACTCAAGCACAGGTTTAAGAGCTTTGCTGAATCAAGGCCGTTCATTCCCATTGACATCAGCAGATGACGTATGACCTGAAGTATGACAATTTATATCCCTTATAAATTGGGATAGTGATATTCTATCTCTATGTAACTATGGATGTTCTTGCTGTCTATATAAATGTGTCAGGGCATGAACCAACCTCTAACTGTGATGAGGGTTTGAAGAAACTTCCCCTATGGGCAGTTTATTTCAAAATGATCTACTACAGAGTTTCTTGTCCCTTTCTCTGAAGCATCTGGCACTAGCAACTGTCCGAGAAAGGATACTGAACTAGATGGGCCACAGGTATGACCATTCCTGTGAAATCAGTGGAGTCAAACTGGTTTAAAATAGGTATAACATCAAAACCAGGCCCATTACATTCAGGCTCCAATTCAGCTACACACTTTAAAGTGTAAAGCACATGCTTAAGTGCTTTGCTGAATGGGGGCCTCAAAGAGAAAGTAAGTGAAAGAGAGAAGTGAGGAGTCTTTGGGTATGTCTACTCTGCAATAAAAAATCTGTAGCACTGAATCTTAGAGCCCAGTCAATTGATTCAGACTTGCAGGGCTCGGGTTGCTGGGTGGGGGTGGGTCTTGGAGCCCAGACTCCAGCCCCAGCCCAAACATCTACAGCCACAGCCATGCTACAGGTCTTTTTATTGCAGTGTAGCTGTCTAAGTTTAGACCAAGCAGTTGCAACTGCACATGTAGTTCACAGAGTTCTCACTTACATGAAGTCTGAATAAGGTCCTAGATCTTTTATATAACAATAACCGAAAAAAGAGTGGTACTGATTTAGAGACATCAGCACTGAACTATACAAAATGATCATTCATAGCATGATGTGGCGGGAGTGAGGGGAAGCAGGAAAGGAAGGAATTTAATATGAAAAGCTCAAGGATGAGCAAATTTAATGAGAAAGATCTTAGTATTATATTTCAGTGATGCGAGGTTCCAATGATAGGTGAATATATCATTTAGGGCCAAATTCAGCACTGATACAAATGGATGGTGTAAGTTATACATCTAGGGCCAGATTCACCACTGTGTTCCAGCTGCTTTGCAACTTTGAGGTAAGCAAAATACCCATAAAGCTGGTTTATCCAGCAAATAAACTGAATTTACAACTACTTAGCATTGCTTAAGCAGCGTGGAACACCAGAGTGCAATGGTGAATCTAGCCTCCAAGGGACATTGGTTGGAAAGTGAGTGTAAGTAGGTTTAAATGGTGAAATAGCGTAACTTGTGTGGGTGTGCAAAAAACACCCAAACAAAACAACGTAATTTATACCGATTTGGTATTTTATTGGGATAAAATTCAGCCTTGGCATAAAAAGTACAACTGAATTTGGCCCTGGTACTGTTAGTTTGCATCATCTTTCACCTCACTCTTGGTTCTTCATCTTTGTGAGACAAACATGGCATGGCATATAAGTTACATTAATTTTGCACATGTATTGAATCTAGGTTAGTGCAAGTTATACTACGGTGTCACTTTATACCTCTTTCAATCTGGCCAATATACATCCAATGTGTAACATATATTGTCATTTATGTCACCGTGAATTTGGTTCAGAAAATTCCAGGAATTGCCCCGGCTTATTAGGTTGCATTTAGATGAATTTGGCTGTACATATGTTTGTTGCTGTTTCATATCTCTTGTAAATAAGTTAATAGATAGATGTATTGGCTGACTGGAAGATTGAATCTGTCTCTCATAGACCATTGAATAGAATGCTAATAGAAGGGAACATGGATTACAGAGTATGTAACACATACTTAAAGTTTCTTCTAGCTTTGAGTCATTTAGGCACAGACTTTTCTGTTATGGTTTTTACATCCTATAAACCTATTTTCTTTGTTAGATAAGGTACAGATATGAAGATTACTATTACACTATGAATTTTCCTTCCCTGAGTTGTAACTTAACATTAAATCATGCTACAGAAGCTTAAAATTTTCTGGGTAAATTCAGGGTTATGTTTGAAGACAGAAGCTCACCAATTCTCTGATTAGGAAGAAGCAAGTCAATTTATAATATCTAAAATTGTAGGGTTTTTTTTTGCAACCAATGGGCATACTGAGAAAATGATATGGGTCCCAGTCTGGCAGACATTTACGAACGTGCTGAACTTTATGAATGTGAATAGCCCCAATAACTCATTCTGTTCTCATTAGTAGAATTAAACATGTGCTAAAGTATTTGCAGGATTAGGGCCTTAGATTTTACAATTTTAAAAAACTATTTATTTAGGAAGTTTTAATGGGTTTATAAATCCACAACATGTAAATATCAAAAACAAAACAATAATCATTACAACAATGAACTTTGGTTTAAAGAGACATTCTACAGTAATATAGTCATCAGATCTCTTTATTTTACAAGGTGTTACCATATTAGAATGAGCATCATTACAACATCTGGGACATATTGTTTCCAGTGATTTTTATGAACTTGAGTGAAATCTGCTATTACACATATTTAATAGACCGAGCATGTCTATGAAATGTTATTTTTAAAACTATTTATTTAGATGTTATAAACAAATCTGATATCCTTGACTTTGAATGGTACTTTTAAAAATTTATGCCTTTAACGAGTGGGAAGTTTCTACTAGAGTTGACCCCCTATTGTTCTTGTAAATTTGGCAGCAATAACTGTATAATTTTAGTCAATTATGTATTTTTTTCTTTTTTATTCATGTAGTTAGCCTTTTTGAGAAAGACTATATTTGTAGCTTATGATATAAAATTTCATAAATAAAAAAATACAAAAAAAAATATAGGCAGAAAGCCAAAGTTAAATCACTCTAAAAAGCAGAAAGGCTTCAAATACAGATAGAACTGACTGGGATTCTCCTACACTTTTTCTCTTGTCCCTTCCATAAGTAAAGTGTTCCTGCCCTTGCTGCAGAAGAAAAAGGACTTGCATTAGTCAGTTTCCTACTGCATCAAGTTCTTTATACACCCAGCTGGCTGCAAAGTTTCTCTTTGCAGCCATGCCTCTGTGTAATCCTAGTCAGTTTCCCTTTGCAACTGTGGGGTGCCTCCTTTGATGTGGCGCTGTAGGAGGTTGCCTATGCTTAAAGGAGGGCCTGCAAACAGAACCCCTTCTGTGGAGCAAAAGAAAACACCAGTGTGATGTCATGTGACTCTTTTTTAATATATACTGTGGAGGAACTGACATCCATGTCTCAGAATTTTGTTATACAGTTTTATGATGTTATACAGTGGTAGAGATTAAATAGACATAGATATCTCATTTAAACCCTGAAGTGAGGGACATCTACTCTAGACCTCTCTTCTGCGGTTGGTCTAATCAATGGCTTTCCGGACTTTCCAGGGAAAGTGGGTGGAAGAAATTGGAATGGTAGTTTCCAGGGTATATTTAGTGGGATCTTTATTGTTAAATGGATTTATCTGTGACACTGATAGATTAAATATATTATGACATGTTTTTAGACAATAAAGTTTTTTTGTGATTAGCTTATTTACATCTGCATGGCTCGAGTAAGCATTTTTAATAATATAAATATAAAACATGTAATAGCAACAATGAAATGTCAATTTTATTCTCACTGCTCAATTTATATGAGGAAGCGGCACATAACTCATCCCTGTCTTTTAGTAAGCAGCAGGGACAAAACTAGTATTCTACTGTCCACCATTCTGCATCTTCTCTGTCTGTGCAATTTCAGTAAATTTATTGCTGAAGTTAGAAAAAAGCTGACAAAATTAATAAATCTAGGCCAAAGTTTTTAAAATCCTGAGTAGGTGCAAACAGGTGTTTGAGCATCCATTTAGTGGCACAAACTGGAGTTAATCCTGGAGGAAATTTACAAAGTTTGTGTCTGGGTATATATATGTATATACCCAAATATATCTGAGCACTCCAAGGGCACGGAATAGGGACACGGTCTGGAAATTGAGTGTCCGAAAAGAAGTTCTAGAAGGGCCTGGATGCACTAGCAGCTGCTGTCGGTGCTCAAAAGTTAGTCGTCAGAGGAAGCACAGGTTAAGATATTCAAGCAGCATCCCCTCATTGGTTGTTCTCGACTCTCTGCACTCTGAAAAAAAAGACAGCATGAAGGAAGGACTTGACTTTACATACATTTGAGAGAAACAGAGAATTTA